TCCTTTCAAAGCTTGGCTCTATTAAGGGATGGAGACACTGTCATGCGTTGAGCTTCTTTCACAAACATTTTTAACTCTGTTGGGTGCAAACTATTGATTAATATGGATAAAATAAATGCCTCCAATATTTGGTGATTCAACCACTTATTGAGTATATCAGCCACTCGGCCATAATACGATTCCACCGCCTCTCTTAGGATCATTTTGCTATTCATTAACCTCTCTCGAAGACGATTCTCAAAACCTACTGACCGAAAATGGATTAAAAATGTATTCTTCAATGCTTTCCAATTCGGAAATTGATCCATTGGTTGGCAATTGTACCATTCAAACGTCATATCTTTTAAGGTTGTTGGCAACCATCATAACCAAATATCTTCGATTCTTCTATTATTGGCTATACATATTGTCAAAAACTGAGATAAATGTTGATCGAGATCCGCACTCGGGAAGCCCCTAAAAGTAGGTAATGGAGCCACGCTAGTTGTGCGATTGTCCACGTCACCCATTTGGATTGCTATTGGAATTGCTGGACCACTCGACATCATTGAAGAGAACAATGTGCCGCTTAATCTCTTATTAAAATTACCACTGTCTTCTCTAATTATCTTTTCCGGACTTTTTAACCTCCTCAATTTGCTATTATTATCCCTAAATAAGTTTATTAGTTGAATTAGAGGTAAAAATGATGGATTTTGAAATACGTTGAATTGGCCTTTATTGGCAAGCAATTTATGCCAATCTACGAAACCAATTTTTACAAAATCGGCAGTTTCTGCTATTAAGAAGATACCCAACGGAGTACCCAATTCTTCTGTGTTTTCTCCACTTGTAATTAACAAGCTCAAGAGATGCACTGGGCTGTTGACAAAATTTCTTGTGAGTGCTCTAGGCAATTTTCTTAACAGTATATATGTCTGAAATATTAGAGATTGGTCAGCTTCTGAATATGCTCGGATATGCCAACAAGCATGCAACCATGGCTTAATTCAACTTTGTCAACGCTTCTTTTGTAACTTGCGTTCTTGCTCATTTTGTAACGGTTTTCTTCCTTACGCTCTGTCTTATCTTTCTTTCAATTGACCTGTTTTCTTTACTGCAATGTTTTCATTCTTAATAACCATAATCTTTCATTATATATTGCTGAATTTGCTTCCTATTTCCCATCTACTCATCCGGCAGTTAATTCCTAATACTCAATACTATTATCAATCCCCGACAGTGGCGCCAAAATATAATTATCGTTTTACTTATTCTACAAATTTCTTTCAAAATAAACCTGTAGAGGGAGATTCAAACTGAGGGAAAGACTAAGCGCATGAGCTTATATGTTAATGTCATTCAATTAACCGTAATCCAAACCACTAAAACACCAAGAAATACTAAAATACTTTCTCCCAGTAACAATACTCCTTCATCAACTAATAAGCACAATGTACAATCCTACACTCTTAAAAGACTGTTCAAAACACATAAGTTCTATCCAACACTAGAAATAACAGACTTTACTCCAACCAATCTGAATTCACACAATTTCTATAATCACAAACTTCTATTATCAAAACACACACACAATTCTCAATAAACAACAATCATAATCTTCCATCTATAATCAATCTTCTAATAACTTCTCATATAATTCAATTACACAGTATTCTAATTATATAATCGATAATTCATAAATCAATCTCTGATTTATTCCATAGACTCACTTCTCAGTATCCAAAAACTATCCATTATTCTTCAACAATAAAGAAACAAAGAAGTAGCAATAAGCTTACCTTAGCTCATAACTATCACAGTCTGGCATCCCAACAAACTTCTACAACTCCTATATAATTGCTCTTGATTTCCAGATTCTAACCGCAATCATGTAATCAATCGCTTTTAATAACTAAATCAATCATCCATCCTCATGAACTAACTATTCTATGGACTATTAGTTTATTTTACCAATATCTTTCAAAAACAAACTAATATCTATTCTACATTACCCAATCAACCTATCTATGCTACTGAGCATAGAATCATATGCCAAGTTATTATATGGATGTTATTATAGAAGATTTTAATAGAAAGATATAGTAGAAAAATAAGAATAAATGATAAAAAGATAGTAAAATATTTAGTCTTAATGCTGCCTTTTGTAGAAGAAATTTCTATTTACTTTGTAGAGGCAAAAATAAACAAAATCAAATTAAATGAGATAAAAAGTTGAATTAGACATATTAAAGAGAGAGTTAACAATAGATTAAAGTAAAACATATCTCAAATTATCAAAACTTGATACTCAAAGAAGACTAGTTATCAACTTGGATTGAAATCAAACTCCAAGGCACAAAACCATATACCTATGGCAACTCTAGAGTCCCCTTACAAATCAAAAAGAGAATTTTGGAAGAAGACGTCATTATTTTCTATATTAATGTGTATCTTTTTATATGTGGCTTTAAGCATGTAATGCTAATATTTGGAGCAATAGCAATGTTAAAATAAAAAAGTACCTAATATCTCTAATCTATTTATAAAACATCCTTCTTGTCTTAATTTCTTAGATTTTTTTTTTAATTTCTTATTTAATTTAAATTAGCTTATTTATTTATTTGATAATCTAATTTAAAAATTAGAAAATAAAAATTTATATACATTAAATAAATTAATGACATGCAAATGTTGTGTAGATATCTGGACTATTAATGCATTCTTAACATATAATATATAAGAGGACAATATAATGTAAAGAAGAAATTCTTCATATTAAATTATTAATGTATATAAATTCTTGTTTGATTTTAAATCAAACCAAGGTTATACTTTTCTACTTGATTCTTCTTAAAACAATATAATCTTGTGCAGAAGAAGAAAAAGAAGAAGAAGAAAAAAAAAAAACTCCAAGACCTATTACAACTTCAAAATCTCTACCAATTTTTTTTAATATTAAACCTCATGTCCCAACAGCGATTTTCTAAACTACTAAACTAAAACACCTCAATGGTTATGTTCTACTCTTATGTATTTTTTTATTAGTCCCTTTCTTTTCTTTTTTTTCTTTTTTTTTAATATCTATTTTCTAATAATTTCTTTGTACCTAAACATTTCTGCCTAGACACCTACTTTGTTGCCAACACCGTCTCATGTTGAGTATCAACTTTGATTTGAGTCAACTTGACCAATATGGTTGATCAATTCAACGGGATTGACTAAATCAATTTAAGTGTTTGCTGAATTCACTTGAATAAGTGTATTCTCTTGTTAATACTAACAAATCCTAACAATTCTTAACAGATCCTAGAGTCAAATTGCCGCACTTCTGATATAACCCCTGACAGGCTTGATTCACAATAAAAAAAATAAAAAACAAATCACAAAACCTTGGTTCTGAATTTATACGCTGCCCCATCTACTCTTCCTACCTTGTTCACTGTAATTTTCCGGCGAGAGTGTCTACCATTGCGCCGCCCTCCGCATGTCGACCTGCCTCGTCTAACCAGTCTCCCATATCATTCATGCTCTTCACAACGTCGTCGTGCTCAGTTGGTTCAAATAAACATCATGTTCTCCTCAGTCCACCATCACTATCTTTATGCCTGGTGTACAGCATCTAACTCAGCTTCAGCTTGTTCCGCTCTAGTTCGACTGATACTAGATTGCATAGTGTTATCAGAGTCCTTCCAAATTTCCGCGTTCTTTGACTCGGTAATTGGAGTTTCTTCTTCAGGAGAGGCGAAAACAGGCTCCTGGTTTGATATCTCGTCATTATTTGTAGATTTCATTGGGACTTGTTCTTCCACATTTTGATCCTCTTTTGGTATTTGGTTCAGCATCCACCTTCTCTCTCCGATGGTGTAGAGACTTCCTGACCCAAGCTGTCGTTTGCTCTGTCTCAGATTCAACAACCTCCTCCTGTGCAACTACGGCACTGACAGACTTACTCGCCTCCGACTCCCATTTGAACCGGAATCGTGCTCAAACTCTTCTCAACCCAAATAGTCACTTTGACGTATTTACTACTCTGATTCAATTCTTGTGAGTTTCCATCTTCTATTCGAAGATCTTGGAAACAAAGATTTTCCTTGTGGTGGAGGGTGTAACCGTTAAACAGGTCAGCCTCTCTTGCCACAACGCCACCTTCATGGACAATGTTACTAACGCTGATTATCATGAGGTCGCTAAAAGGCGCAAGGGTTGTGGAGCTTCACAGAACTAGCACTTTCGTCAGACATAATATGACAAGAAACTTCGGTCTATGCCTCTCCACATTGCCCTTTCTGGATACTGAAGATCTGCGATTTTTTTCTTCTTTCCAACACCCCTAAAGTCGTCACTTCAGCATCAAACTGATCTCATAACACCCTTCACGCCTGTTTAAGTACACATCGGTGATGCTGCAGCCAATGAATTTTCACAAGAATCTCCCATACTATTATTCAGTTTGAGACACGTGACGAGTTCCAGCCACTTCTTCAACCAGCATCTGCAGGAATACCAGACCAGATTTCTGCATCTCTCTAAAACCAACACCCACTTTCTTACTACCGCTGGATCTAATGACTCCGTCATAACAATTCTTCTGCTCCTTTCTCCCCCATCGCTAAATATTAGCACAACTGCTAAATGTGATATTGTTGACATTGTGACAATATACTGTTGCTTCAAGACCAAACCTGGTTTCACAGCGAAAACCTCTACTCAATTTTCTACTCAATGCAAAGACATTGCTGAAGTTTTAAAGCAACATCCACCATCCGAATAGTCAACAAGAGTCTAAAATGAAGCAAAAAAACGTATGTCAACCTAGATAACGAAAATGGCACATGCCTATGGTACTCTGCATTTATATGCAAAAATAATTTGAAACAACATCCATTTCCTAAAAATTCTCATTCCAATGATTATATCATGCAAAGTGATTGATTCATTGATTCCAAATCTATTTTGTGCAATCATGCACACAATAAAAATGACACTTCCAACTTACAACATAAAATAGCACAGTTTGCTAAAGTTGCAACCAAAGGAGCAATAATTGCACTTCATTGAAACGTATATTCATTACTTCACAAATAACAATCTTGGCTTCTCCAAGTTTCACGTATATGTATATTTGTGTCAAAAGATGCACATGTTCTCGACCACGGTTCTATCGCCCACTGCCTCGCAAGCTCTTATAGCTAAACGGAAAATTGTGAGCCGCCACCCAGGAAGGATGCTAGAATGCTGGACTGGTTGTTGAGATTGCAAAAAATTGTTCCTATTTCCTTTCTCTCTCTCGCTGATCGTGCCTCGATCCAACGCAACGAGTTCCCTTGCTCCCTGTGGAGGAAAAAAAATTGCCTCAAATTGCTTCATGAATTCTAAACTGAAAAGCGTTGTCGTCATTGTCCGGGATATCAACCTTCCAGCACGCGCTTGATCTGCTCCAACGACAGAAACATGACGATGGCGAAGGGTCCCTGGCGAGTCACCGTGGGAATGAAACCCTTGTACAGAGCCATGGGCCCTTCCGAGCGCACAGTCTTGACGGCACAGTCCAATGCGCCCTTGTAGGGGGGAGCTTCGCCCGCGGCCACTTTCATGTTCATCACTCTCGTCTTCACCACGTCGATGGGATTCGACGCCACGGACGCCAGCACTCCCGCTCCCACGCTCGCCACCACCTGCGTCGCCAGCCCCTCCGGCACCACGCGGTTCTGGGCTATGGTGTCCTTGATCTGATCGTACGTGGCCAGCTGCGCCGCAGTCACCAGCATTGCTCGGGTCACAGTCGGGGCTGAGCCCGTCCACAGAGACAGCACGCCGTCTTGTTTCATCATCCGGAGCAGAGCGTTTCCGACGGAGGTGTAGTTCCGCCTTTCGTGAACGGGCAGCCTCCAGTCGGCCTGCATCCGCACCATCGCCAGATCAGCGGGGTTCCCCACCGCGGCACCGGTGGCTCCGGAAACCAAAGCTGCGGCCACCTTCTTGTGCAAAGGAAGCCCCGAGCCTTCCTGGGTCTCGTCTCTCCACTGGGTTTTCAGAAATTCGTAGAGGCCCATTCGGGTGGAGGAGTACATGGCTTGCCGCAAGAGCGTGGCCGAGACACCCGAGTACAGGGCTTGCACGCCTTCTGACCTTGCCACTTCCAACCCCACACCCAGTGGGCCAGGTCGTCGAACGCTACCGGAGGAAGCATGGCTTCCGGCGAGGGCCATGGCAAGAGGCGGGGATGCCACCTCGCCTTGCAGCTGCATACGCACTTTCACGAGGTCGAGCGGGTGCGTGGCGAAGCCGGCAATCATGGACGCCAGCCCACCCTCGGCGAACCCCTTCCACTGACCGGCCATAGCGGACGCTCGGACCTCAACACAGTATCTCAGAATTCTTTTCACTTTGCGCTGCGCAACGCGTCGAAGCGCTGGGCCTCAGTCCACGTCGAACTCCCACTGTCGACCACTACAATTATGCAGCAAGCGCACACCGGACACGAGCAGCAAGTCTATCCCGCGCTGCACGCCAACTTCCTGCTTGCCAAGACTAACGGCAACCTGAGCAGAACCGCACGCAGTGCGACGACGAAGATCGCTGCTGACCATGAAAGGCAAGACCTCCTTCACCACGCACGATGTTGCGGAATAACAAACAATCCACCAACTCGCTCCTGCAAGCTCTTCTTTAAATCGCCCGAAGAATCGATGCCACGACGAACAAAACGCAAGGAGTGGAAGATCGATCACAGATGGGAAGACCAACGTCGTCTGCCTCTTTATATATGAGACGCACCATGGGGACGCGGGTTCCGGTCAGCAGGCAAGACCGCGGCGAAGTGTGGAAGACTATCTGAGACGTATGCGGGGCATGCGTGGAATGGAATGGAATGGTGGGTCACCCTGGATTCAACGCTGAGTCTGGCTCCGGACCTGCTTTCCACTCCGCGACACGAACTCGTTTCGTCCTCCATCGCGTGCCATCGCCGTCGGTTTCGATCATCCTTCATCCTGTCGGATCGGCCCAACCGCGATCTTCCCGACTCCTGAACGCTGGAGCTTCTGGATGCAATCCGGATGAATTTTCTGAGGGTCAAAGCCATCCGAGTTGCATCCAAATAGGAAAATGAAATTAGAAGAAGTAATTGTTTAGTTGCCTGAGTTGGCATCAAATTTGTTGGTTTGTTTATTGGTTCGTTTTCAATTGTGCAGTTTTGTTATTCAGTCAAGTCTAACAGAAGTATGGTTTGAAGTGTGCATGGCAATGATATGTTCTCTCTGTGAATGTTGATTTATTTTGTAAAGTGAGTGTTGTAATCGTTTGTACGTTTTTTGGGCGTTGACTTGTACGTACAAAAATGGATAGTTTTTCTCACCCTGCATTGCATAATAAAGTTGAAGCCCTGGAATGTATACATCTCATGAGTATTTAGAGGTAGGTTTGGTTCAATGTGGATGTATCAACTTCTTAAAGAGTTCTTGTTAGTGTGTAATGTGTTTGTTGGCTCATTGTTATTATTGCATATATTTGTATCAGAATTATGTCTATTGTTTTTTTAATGTGAGAAATTTAATAATATTAAGCTTTATTGCATTTGTGTATGTTGTGAAGAGGTTAAGCACTGAAAATGTAAGATTGCAACATGTTTAAATAAGATGTCAACAAATGCTTTGTTGTGATAGAACCATGTTTTCTTGTAATCTTGTAAATATATTTATGAAACTCATGATCATGGCTTTCTAATGCATGACATTTCATCAAAATGTGGAACATTGTTTATCTTCCATGTCATTTATTAAGGAGGAAATTTGTGCCTATGTTAGTTTATACAAGCCAAGTGAAACCAAGTCTATGTGATGATTTTGTAGTACACAAGTAATCTTTTTGTTTTTCTTTTTGTAATCTTGAAATAACTATTCATGTGTTTAAGAGAGGCAAATTTTGGTTGCAAGTTGGGATGACAGTAAAATTGAAGAAACTTGTTTAATCTCTTATTTTTTCTTTTTTTCTTTTTAATTATAGATAACAATATTGAAAGGTGCATGTGTTACTGAGAGGATAGTTTACACGATTATAGGATTTTTGGAGGCATGTGTCTTGGTTTGTATATCTATCAAAACACATCATGGAGAAAGCCACTGGACTTTGTTGTAAAAATATTGGATATCAAATAAAATGTGATTTTGTTCTGTACATTTTTTTGGATATGAAGAAAACATTGTTGTACCTGATGGTGTATCATACAGTAATATACACAAAAGTGTGTATATATATATATATATATATATGTGTGTGTGTGTATGTGTGTGGACATATTGTTGGTGAGAATCGAAACGTTTTTGGTAAACATGAAAATATTCTTTTTAACGTTATTACCTCACATCTGAATATGCAGTTATGGTCATTCACGAAGTATCATAGAACACATTACATAAAATGAACTGGAAACAGAAGCTTCGTGGATCCCCGCGCGAATTCAGACACATTGACGAACAGAACTGAGGAGTGGCTGTTTGAATATTTGTGAAAACTGGTCGGAAGTCCGAATAAGCGGGGGTCTCCAAGTCGGCGGCCGCGGAGACCGGGCGAAGTTCTTGCCTCGGGAATGGCGATTGTCACGCGGCTCCACGGATATTGCCAAGCTCCTCCTCTTCCTCTTCCTCATTCTCCTCCTCCCTCCTCCATTCAACTTGCCGTAACAGGATACCGCCACCAATATTTCTCACCCTGGTCCGCAACCAATTTGCGTCAGACCCACCAGTTGGTTTTTCCAAAGCTACTCCAAGAAATTTCACCTGCAAACGCCGTTCGACTCAGTCCTCGGAATCTGAAGTGGGCCTTGATTTCGTGGCGCACTCTTTGCAAGAGGATGGCTCTCTTCACATTTGTGGGCCTTGTGACCAGGTTTGGATTGAGGTCCGTTGCTTATCAACCTGCTTTCTTTGTTTTGACGGTTGAGTTTGAACTGGAGCAGCCACTAGAGTATGCCGCTGGTCAAGGCTTTTGTGGTGAAGATGTCGCGATTAAAACCTGACACCGCCTTCGATACACAATGAAAAGCACCTCGGTGAGGAAGAGCTTCAGCAGCAGCCACTTTCATGTCCGTCAGTCCCATATTCACTGATTTTGGAGTATTTTGAGCACCACTTGTAAGTATCATTTATATTCTGTTCGAGTATAATTAGTGTGTGTATGTTCCAAATTGTTACTTGAATACGTATTTGCAAAAAAAGGTGATGCTTTAAAATTGTGGCACTACAAAATGTATAGCTAAGATCAATAAGAATTGTTTTGTTATGTGAGGATCTTATCTCCTTTTAGTCTGGTAGATTCTTTTCTAGAGCTTATGATAGTACTACTAAATGCAAGATGTCTTTTTACTTTCTGTATTGTTATCTTTATATTAATATTGAAGAATTGAAGAAATTGCATTTTTGATTGCAAATTAGGATGACTAAGAAAAACGATTGAAGAAGTTTGTTTAATCTATGGAAGTTAAGGATTATATATTAATAAGAAAATAATTTATAAAACCACAATATTTTGAAGTATCAAAATGTTTTGATGTTTTGATTTTTTTACAAATAAATTTAATTATATATCAAGTCAACATATATATATATATATATATATATATTTAAATAAAAACTATCATATAAGAAGTATGTCTTCAACCATTACTATCAATATAACAACTTATTTATTGCCTTTGAATTATATATGTTGTCTTAAATGTCCTATAAATTCTTTATATAAACTCCAAATATAGCAATTCTTTCATAAAAAAGATAGAACTTGAAATTGCTCTTGCAGCTATATCTTTCTATCTCCAAAAGTTGTCGTATAATTCTTCATATCTTCAAAAAAAACAACATGTCTTAAAAAACTCCTTAACTTCAAATGGCTATAATTTCTTCATCTTAACTCTAAACCCTCTAAATTTTATACATAAATTATAATCCAAGCCTTAAACCTTATAATTCTGGCTTATGTTTTTCAAAATATCTTTTTGAAGTCACCAAAATCCTTGTTATGGTTGCTAGTAGAATGTTGAAAGCCTATTGGGCATGGCCTTCAATCAATAGAGATGAAGACCTTCACTCCTTGCCTTCATTTGTCCATAATTTGCTTTCATCCCTCCAAATAAGCTTCTTAGTAGTTTCAATCTTCATCTCTGAGCTCTTGTCTTCTCTTAAAACTTTATACTAAATATCTAAATCTTATATAATTAATATACTATAATTAAAATTGATAAATTTTAAAATAATTTTTTATATTAATTCTCTTTAAATTAACCTACTAACTATTTTAATATATATAAAGACTTATAAATATATTATATATTTTAATTAATTTTTACATATTATAAATAATTATAATACGACATCCATCCCCTTCAAACCTACACATCCTCTAATATGTCCTATATGGTATTCTTTCTGATCCTCTTAAGATTTCTTTTAATCACTCATAAGTTCTTTTAGTTCATATTTTTGGTCCAAATATTGAGATAAGAATTTTCCAAGGTCTTCTATACTGAACCACACATCTCTTCTTTTGAAAGCCTTCACCTTCTTCTCTACTATTGGAATTCTAATGATAGTTCTATCTAACTCGCATAAGGTATATGTAGCATTATCATGGACTATAACTACCTCATATGATCTAAATCATTATTATACAAATTTTTTTATAGTACTATGTTGATGTTCAAAGTTGCTTTTATAAACTAGAATCCAATTTCCAATTCCTATAGGCTTAAGCCTCAACCTATGAGCCCTGTCAAATCTTTCTTTATTTTTCAATCTTACTTCTTTTAATCTTTTAGTTGCAATTTGTAGGTCTTCAGGTAATCTTTTTAATTATTGGACTCAAAATTCTAATAATATTTTTCTATTAATATCATCTTTTAAAGATAGAAACATCTATTTAGGATAGATTTCTTTACCTGGCATCATAGGTTTTTATTCTAATATTAACTCCATGGATATATAACTAGTGATAATACTGCGAGTAGTTCTATTATCTCATAAAGGAAATGGAAGTAATTTAGGCCATTGAATTGGCTTATCCTTACATGCCTTAACTAATGCATAAAAGATAAGAAGATGAATCTTCTTATTCTTTCCATTGGCTTTAGGATTATATGAAGTAGTCAATTTTAGCTGAACTCCATATCTATTGAAAAATAATTCTTACTACAACAACATCTAATTCTCTTCTATTAACTCTCATCCTTTCAATGCTATTACATGTAGTGAAAATGTCTTCTAGTATAAATCTACATATTACTTTTGTGGTCTTGGTCCTCAAAGCCCTTCCTTCAACATAATTTAATAGATCTTTTTTTTGCCAAAATCAAATATTTTATATCTCAAAGTCATGATGGCATAGCTACTAAATCAATTATCCATTAGAAATGTATAGAAGGTAGATAATTAGAATATAATCAATTCCTATACCTAATCTTAGACTCTATTTGATACTTTGTATATAAATTCATAAAGTATATTTAGCTTTAGACAACATATCTACCACTAAGTTTTCTTTATTAGTAATTTGTATTAAAATAAGTTTCAATATTCTTATGTAGGCTATCCATCTTAGCATATCAATATTTGGAATAGTGTAGTTAATTATTATTTCAAATAATGGCAAACAATCTATTTTTAAAATCATTCTTGTTTCAAAAAAATAATTTTTCTCAACCTTTAGAACAGCAAGTGCTTTAGAAAGCTCTCTTTTAACTTGTGAATAAGTTCTTTTCATCTCTACAAAAACCATGGCTCTAAACCTTATAGCAAATCTTTTTTCTTTTACCTCATCTTATTTAATAGCCCATCCAATTGTAATGGATATATACCTACTGTAATTGTTATCTAGATAGGTAGAATTAAGTAAAAGTAGTTTAATTTCATAATATCTTCTAGAAAAGCTTCTTAAAAGCTTTGTAGACATTTCTTTGACTTTATATATGTTTTTAGTTGATTGGTAGGTTAAAGACTTGGTCAACAAGCTATTCACGTACCAATGGCACCACAACAAACATGATGAGAGTGATATTATATTATAATATAATTATATGGTAAGAATATAATCAAAATAAATTTCTAAATCACTTCTAATTATCTTAGTTCAATAATAATTCAAATCATTTAAACAAGATTTTTATAAAAGCCTTTTAGTTTATTTTTTTATCTTAATATTTAGCAGATTAAAGATTGGTTAGTATTTTTATCTTTTAGGTTGTAGAAACTCTTTTATTGCTTTAGAAAGGCCATAAATTGATAAACATAGGATAGATGAGATAAATAATTAATATGGTTAATATTAGGATTAAGTTGAAGATAGAATTAGGCTAAAGAATCCCTACAATAGGTTGGATTGATACTTGGGGATTGAGAATTTGTAGAACAAGGTCGAAATCAGACCTCCAACTATTAAAATGGTTGCCTAGGGCAAAATACGACAGAATTTGAGGATTGGCAATTGAGATTGAAGAACTCGCTTTAAGCTCGTTTTAGAAGCATAATGCTTGTTTTCATAAGGTTTGAAATGACTTTGAAATTATTATTCAAAATTAGGATTTGTATTCATGACTTTGAATTTATGTAATACAATTAGAGCTAACACTCTTGACTAGTTCATGCAATTGGTATCACATATACAATTCAAAATTGGATAATACTTGGTTGATTAAAAATATTAAGTGTGCATATAATTGGCATTGATCTAATAAAGCAATTGGAAGATATTTGGTTTTTAATGTAAGAAGATATCAAAAGTTGGTAATTTGGAGTTGGATAGGATTTCTATGAGATTTGAGGATCTAATAGTTGGAACAAGGTAAAATTTGGCTTGATGTTAGAAGACTTAAAGATCAAGCTATATACCAATTTTGACCTGAAATCAATAGTTAGAAAAGGAGAAATTTCTACTGAAATATTTCTATCAACTTTAAAGCTGGCAATTGAGTAACATCAATGTGGTTTTTTGGACATTTTCTCACAATTTGTAAGTTAGATTGGGCTGAATTTTTCTAAGTACTTAGAAGACTTATAGTGGCATTTAAATAATTTTTTTTTTATCAAGTGGACAATCAAATTAGAAGTTACATCTTGCTAAAGCCCACTAATTAGAATTAAGGCTTGCAAAGAAAAATCAAAATTGCCTACTTATAAAAGTAATAAGGCAATTGGAGTTTGTATATGATTGAAGTTACTAAGAAGAGTGCTTTTGAGTACTTTGTATTGACTTTAAGCAATTTTGAATTGAAATTTGAATTAAATTCTTCTTATAAGGATAAAATTTATTAGGATTTCTTGGATACTTGTAAAACACAATTTCACCTTCTATAGCTAAGTGTTCAATGCATTTCCAAACAACATAACACATAATATAACATAAGTGGTGAATTTGATATGAAAGTTTAGGTAGAAGGTATTGGATTGTATTTATTATTTAAAAGTGATAATATAAGAAGGTAAGAAGGTTGAATTTGGAGTTTTTAATGGAACTTTGGATAAAGCTTTAAGTGGATCTTCAAGTAGATTTTCTAGTGGTGGACAAGTTTTATACTTTGGCCCAAATATTACAAATATTTTTTAAGCATTTATAATATTTATACAATAGCAATAGAGCAATAATTGCAAAGAGGCATTGGCAATCAAAGCATTGCAAGTAATGGTTAACAAAATTGATAAATTTGATAAAAGATATATTTCAAAGTATTTGAGATATTACAAATAAGAAATGAAATTGGATTGGATTTTCAAAAAAAAGATAATTGAGCTATTTGGACTTGCTATAATTTTTGATATAAGAAAATATATTAAATCAATTATAGAGCATTTTGGAGATTCATGGAAGATATTTTTATATGCATTAAAGAAAAAATATATTTTGGAGAATATTGATCAAGTTACCAAGAAATCATTTTTGGAATGGATTAAGCGGCTTAATAAGAGTTTGTAAGCTAGAGAGCTTTTAGAAGAATTTGAAAGATAATATTTTCAATTATCAACGATAGAAAAGTTAACATTGAAGAAAAAGAAGATTAAATTATTTTTTCAAGCTGTTAATAAAGAAGCATAAGAAAAATTGGAATTGCTTCTTGAAAACAAAAAAAAAAAAGATGAAGAATTGATACTAAAATAGAGAAATGTTGAAGATGTTATAGGTTTATTTGTAAAATCTTTGAATAAAAAAATTGATAAGATGTATCATTTATTAAAAGAGTTTTCAAAAATTAGATTACTACAAGCTCAAATTACCAAATATATTTGGTGATTTCTTCCCTTTTTCCTTATTTCAAAGAAAAAAAAGGCCATTAAGGTATTACTTTGCCCTACTTTTGATCTAAATTTTTCTAAAAATGTTCTCATAAATATATCCCAATTTTTAAAGGTTTAGAAGGAAGTGGTTTCTATACCATTCATAACCGCCATTATTTAGAGTACTTGAAAACCACACAAAATAATAATCTTGGTCAGTTATTAAACATATAATAAGAAGTTCCACAAATCTCTCCATGTATACTTATGGATCATCATTTCTAGTTTATTTTAATATAGGGAGGTTGTAAGATATAACAACTGCTTGTAAATTCTTTGGAATTATAATTAAAAAATTCCTTAGTTGAACTAAGGAATTAATGAATATAAGATTGAGATTATTCTGTCTCTTGCATTTTATTAGAAGAAAAGAAAAATTTGATTCTTTTTTTTCTTGATTTATCTCTACAAACAAGTTGAATCAAGTTCCAATCCTTTTCTTCCTACTTTGTTGTCTAGATTTGCTTCAAATGGATTTAAGACAAAAATATCTTTTAATATTGGAGGTGCAGGTTGTTTACTTAGCTATTGAGTCTTTACTTATTTGATCTTTGGTCTATTTTTTTTGATAGTAGCTCCAGAGTTTTTGATGGTTGGTGATAAGTCGAATTGCTTAAATCTAATAGAATAATACATTTATATGACTATCAACCTATCATTTAATTGAATGCAATTTTATCTATCAAACCATAATAATTTAAGTTTTGGCTCCTCTACTTCTAACCGACTTAAAGTACCTTTTGACAAGAAATGAAAACAAAACAAGAACAACTAAAGAAGAATCTCTTGCTTGAGTGACTCCTCAGGTATGATTTTTTTTTTTTTTTTTTTTTTTTGTCCTTGATTATTATACAAAACTACTATTGTATAGGAGTAACCTTAAGCAATCTTAGTTGTAAAAAAGAATTCTATATCGAGACTATAGGAAGTCCAAGCTCTCCATTTTTTTTGCCTTTTTACAATACGGTAGTTAAGAAATTATCTACTACCATAATTAACCACAAATGTTAGGTTACAAAAATAATTCTTTGCAACCAATTCACAATATGTTATAAAAAAACTCACCTGGTTGCATCTCCAACTAACTTGTCACTTATTAAAGAATTTATAAAATACATGATTTCTTTCTAACTGATTTCAAACTAAACAATTAAAAAGTTATTTTGGAATTGAAGAAAAAAAAGGATTTGAGGCTCTATTAATCTCAAAAAAATCTATGAAAAAGTCAAGAAGTTATCCCTTCTTCCATCTTTTTCTTAGGTTCTACCCTCCAACTTCTAGCTTCTACTTCTTATGTTCTAGCAATTTGTTGAAAATTTAAGGAAGGAAATAATTGACTAGAGTTTAGAAACTTACTTGTTTGCTAGCTATCAATGCCACTCCTTTCTTCTTGTACTCCTTCCTCTCAATCCACAATCTATGTTAGCAAAATTAATAAAAACCTTAATGAATTTTATTAAGAAAATATTTAGCTTGAATTGTGATTTGAAATTGTGGATATTTTCTATTCTTCTTATCTTTCTTCCTATTTTTTTCTAAAATTCTTCTATCTACCTTTTCTACCTAATTCTTCTTCTTAAAATTCTTCTTCTATTAATGTTGATGAAGAAATTCTTCTTGAACCTTGTTAGCTCCTTCTATATTACTTTTGTAAATAAAAGAGATATAAAAGATGGAAGAATGATTAAATCTTCCTACCACTAGAGAAAGACCCTCCATTGGAGTTTTATAAGACAAGAAGAAGTAGCATGAGGGGTGGATGAGGTGATTAAATCCTCCTACTACTAGAAAATTATCTTCAATGGGAAAATTTATTAAGAAGAGGAGAGATGACACTTGTAGAAGAACTCTTTCTATAAAGAATGCAATTCTTTGGCACTTTCAAGATTACATTTCACTTGGTAATCCTACACACAAATACCAACCAATAAAACAAAATTACTCGCCTTCCAAACAATTAGAATTGCCTCAGTTTTGGCAAATGCACCAAAATATAAAGTAAAATAAACCCTTGGTAGTTGGAAGTCTATTCTAAATAACCACTATTAACCAGCTTCTAATTTAATTACTTAAGGTGCCTACTTCATTTCAATTCTTGATGTACTTGACTAGTAAAAAAACCACTCACACACACTTCAAAAACAAGACAAGGTACTCCAATAATCCAACAAAAACTCACCTTTGAAGACAAATTTTTATCTACTTTAATTCAAGTCTGTAGATTTTTTTTATTAATTTTAATTTAAATTTTTTTATCTTTTATCTAGTATTAAATATCACCCAGAATTAAAAATTTATCCAAAGTAATTTTTCATCTCATGTTAAAAATCCTACACAATTTTTCATTCAAATGGTTCATCCAAAATCTAACTTGATATCAATCCTAATTGCTTGTCTTAAATTGTATTTAATTTAACTTGGTTGCCTACACACAACTATTCCTTAGAAATTCTCATAGAAGCAATTGGATGGTTGAAGGTGAGTTCGCTGAAGTTGACTGTACCGCAGCAAGAAGAAGACAACGACCACTAGCCTAGTTCTTTTCTTCTCCAACATCCGACGTCTCAGCGTCTAGCCACTACGGCTCCAGCACTTCCTCAGACGAGTTGCTAAGGACAACCAAAGCTTCCTTACAACACCTAATCCACCATCTGGGCCAATTCCATTGTAGCTTGAGGAAACGGTTATGAATTTTAAACTAGTTGGCACGCCTTGTAGATGGACACTAATCTCAGCAAGCCTTGGTACTAATTAACTACTGGAAGTTCTATTGAGTAACACATTTTCCCTGCCTTTTGCATAATCGCAATTCTAATGTTCTTGGTTCTTGCTCCAAATGCATCAGAGACCGCACTGGATCTATTTCCTGGTGATTAAACACTCCAATCCAATGTTATTAAACTCACTTAATAACAAGAAGAAATTAAAAGAAAAGTAATTTAATGTAATCGCAAGCTAGCTATACCTAGGGTGAGTTGGAAGATTTGGTCGAACGACAATGTAGAGCACTCCTTGCTCTGCAACAAGATCCTACACCAAGACGATAGAACGGTCGGAGAGTATTGAGATGCCTGCCACCAGAAGGACATCCACTAGGTTGATCCAGAATAAGAATTGCACCCCTCCGAGAATTCAAGTAGTCGACCATTGTGGTTGCAAGACGATTTGACACCCTTACAATTACTACTAAAATAAGAGGGGGAATTTGTGAATTGGGAGTTGGACGCCTTTGCCACTTCACGGAGCTGAGTTGATGCCCAAGTGCTTTAACAAGGACTGAGTCCAGTATCAAGCTGCTCAGCCGCACGCTACCACCAGCACACCGCACTGCAGCACTTCCACAAGAACAAGAAGATGAACAGGACCGCAGCAAAACCTAGCCCGTCGAAGAGCAGCAACGGAACGAGGAATGCGAAAGATCAAACAGAGAAAATTTGAACACCACTTTTGTTTGTTTTTGCCCAGCCACCACCACCCTGGTTTCCAGAGCTTCTCCAACACCAGATTGCTGCACCGCAGCTAAGAGGAACAAGGACTCTAGGCGCGAAGCTTCTTTCTTGCAACACTAATCATGATAGAAAAAAAACAAGAGAGCAACTCCGTGGAAAACGAAGCTCACGCACGAAAAAATAAGAGAGTTTCATAAATCCACGATGCCGTAATGCCACAGCACTACTCAGCCGCATCGGAACCGCAATCTACGGAGCTCAAGAAAACTAGAAAACCAAGGCGGAAGAAAGAAACAATCAAGATAACACATTCAACAACGTGAGAACAAGATGGACAAAAGTCCTCGTAGGCATTGAAGAAGACAAGACAGCGATGGTTAATGACTTGGAGTCTTTAACATCGCAGCTCCGAAAAGACGTAGATGCGTTGCTGCACCGCAACTCCGTCCAACTCACAAAGCAAAAAAAACAAAGCCTAAGGGGACAATTTTGCTATCGTAGCTCTAGTCGCCACAATATCAACTGTCGACAACAAGGAAATCAGTACCCAGAATGAAGCTCCGCCTTGACCATCGCCACTGCAATCGTAGAAGGGAAAGAAAACCAAGAGAACAAAGAAGTCCTGCCTGCAACACTCCTACAATGCGAAGGAGAACAGAAACTAGTTCCGGAGCGCTTGGAGCTCGTGAAGAGAAGAAAAAACGGAACTAAGAGGAGAGAGCGGGTCCGGGGCAGCCCGAATCCCTATCGGCAGAGAGGCTGCAGAAATTCAAGGGCAGCCACTGGCCTCCCATCTTTTTTTTTTTTCCGTTTCTCTCTTTCTTTTATTTTTCTCTGCTTTCCCACTCTTCTTTCTGTTTTTGTTTCTTTCTTTTCTTTCTTTTGTCCTAGTTGGATAGTTTTAAATCTAGGAATCTACCTCACCTTCTAATATAATTGAATTTTTTGTTTTAGTGTCTATAAAAACCACTACAATCACATCAAGACTTATAGTAGCTAAATTGAAAAAATACTATAACTTTGAAATTCTTTGATTGGGTGTGCTAAGTGTGCATAAAATTTTGTATTAATCTAACGATGTGGTTGGAAGATATTTAGTTTTTGGTACAAGAAGGTATTGGAAGTTGGCAGTTTGGAATAGAGTAGGATTTCTATGATATCTGAAGATCTATTAGTTGAAACAAGGTGAAATTTGGCATGGTATTAGAAGACTTAAAGATCAACCTACACACTAAATTTGAATTGCAATTCATAGTTGGAGAAGGAGAAATTACTACTAGAACATTTGCATCAACTTTCAAGTTGGCAGTTGAGTGATAATAGTGTAGTTTTTTGGACATTTTTTCACAATCTATAATTTGAATTAGACTGAATATTTTTTGAACATATAAAAGATTTATAGTAGCATTTGTATACAAGATTTTGTATCAAGTAGATGGTCAAATTAGGAGTTATATCTTACTAAAGTTCACTAATTAGAATTAGAGCTTGCAAAATAAAATCAAAATTACCTAATTATGAAAGTAATAAGGCAATTAGAGTTTGTGTGTACTTGAGGTTACTAAGAAGAGTATTTTTGAGTACTTTGTATTAGCTTTAAGCACTTTTGAATTAAAATTCGAATTGCATGCTTTCTATATATATAAAACTTATTAAGGTTTTTTGAATACTTATAAAACACAACTTCACCTTCCATAGCCAAGTATTTGGTGCATTTTCAAACAAGATAATATGTAATACAATAGCGCACTTCATGCAAGAAGCACAATTTGAAGTAAATTATGAGTGGAGAGAGTATGGATCATAGTTTTTGAGCAAATTACATAAAAGCGGGATGGCCTTGTTAATAGAAGCGGACTATCAAACTAATACAAGAGAAAAATTGGTTGATGACAAATTGAGATTAAAAGCATCAAAAAGGTATCCATGAATATGATGTTCTAAATGCAATATGAAGATTAAGCTGATTAAAGACATTACGATGCAATATAAAAAAGATCAAGGTGATGATAGAGAACTCGTATTGGATGATACCATGAAAAGTGGATTATGTAAGAGAGTTAGTGGCTCAAGGTGTGAAGTCATTGGTAATATCTCAAAATCTACAAGGAACACATCTTCTAGTGTGGCTGAGCCAGGGATTGGTTTAGTTGAGGCCAAAGGAAGGTAAATGATCTCAAGTAGATTCAACGAGCAAAGATTTAGTATCAAAAGAGAAACACTAAGAGACATTGATTGTGTTATAGCAGAGGCAAGCGAATCAGGAATCCATAAAGTGAGAAGTAATACCATTGTTCGGAATAAAAATAGTAATAGATCAACTTCAATAGTCGAAATTGGTAGCAAAGTTAAAGTAATAAATACAGATGACCTATTAAGGTGATAAAAGCTGGAGTTGGCTTAGAATACAACATCACTTTGGAAGTAAAGTGCAATATGAGTTTCACAAGGAGTACTCCCTTCCTAAAATATAACATCCTGTGAAATCAAGATGATACCAATGTAAACTTATTGGACTTTATAGCCTTTTTTAACTAAGCTATATCTAAGAAAAATATATGCTTGAGTCTTTTTATCAAGCTTGACATGAAGTGGATCAAGGAATTTTAAGAAACATCTACTTTTAAATACATAAATGTGAGCTATATTAGGTTTCTTCTTGTGCCATAGTTTAAATAAGATAGAGTGAAAAAGAATAGCTTTGGTTGGAAGTTGATTTTGAAGATAAGTCATGTAGATGACTACTTCACCTTAATACGGCTTAGATAGTTGAGTCTCATAAAATATGCATTGGATAGAGTTGAGAAGAGTATGATTCTTATGTTTAACAATACCATTTTAGAGTCGTGTATAAGCTATGATTAGTTGGAGTTGAATTTCGTGTATTTTTAAGTATTAATTAAATTCAAAGGAAAAATAATCTTCTCTTTCATTGAAATAGAGGATGCGGAGCTTATAGTCAGTTTAATTTTTAGTCCATTTGTAAAAGATTTTGAACATATGAATGCATTCACTTTTTCAATAGAAGAATTGAACCATTGTATATCTAAGAAATTATCTATAAATATAACATAATATTTATAGTCAAAAAATATTAGTATGACTATGCAACCACTTAAGTTAGAATGAATTATTTCAAGAGACTAGGTAACTCTTGTATTAGCTTATTTTGAGAACTTTATGGTTGTATGTTTGCAATAAAGGTATATTAAGCAAACAACATGAAAGATGATCTTGAGATATAATCCAATGACAATAATGATATGAACGAGTTGTTAGAGACGATCACTATTGGAGTAACCAAGTTGGTGATGCCACAAGGTAGAAAGTGGGCTTAAAAGAGTGACAGCCGGCTGCAATACATTGAATAGAGTTGAAGTTGTTAGTAGATCATGTTGAAGTACCTTTGGCTAGTAAGTTGGAACTTTGCCATTAAGATGGAGGTAGTTATATAGAGAGACATCGCAAAGATAGGCAATATTAAGAATAAGAGAGGGTGGATATTTAAATAAAAGTATTAATATGAGTAGAAAAGATAGGCCTAGTAAAGACATTGGAACTACAAAAATATAGCTGGTATGAGCTTTCACTTTTTGCTATAGTTTTGTTAATCCAAGTAAATATAGATTAGATCAAAGAAGACAAGAAGCAAAGATTATATTGTCTCTTACAAGAAGACTATAAATTTGATTTTTAATTAAAATACTTCTTTTTTTTAGATCATAATCATTTATTGAAAATAAAATTTTATGTGAATCAAATACATATAATGTATTGGAGAGTCAAAGTGTTTCACCATTGACTATTGAAATTTCCACTTCTCTTTAGTCATAGATGGATAAAGTTAGATTATTGCCAAGATGGACCTTATTTTCACCATATAAAAATGGTTTGAAGTTGATAAATTGATTTTTATCATGTACAAAGTAGTATATAGCTCTAATGTCAATGAATCACCATGTGTCTTTTGTAGTTCCAAGTGTAGGAGATTTTTCCAAGAAAAATACTTATGTATAATATAAATAGACATAGAAAGAAGGAGGTAATTCTTCTACTTATTCTTGCTTCTATGTAGGTGTATTTTTCCTATTTTTAAGATCTGTTGTTGCTAAATTTGTAGCAAATTTAATTTTATTTTTAAAATATTCATAATCCTAGTGTTTCATTTTCTTGCATTGGAGGCAAGATGTGGTAGGTTTGATATACGGTTTTGAAAGCTTATGGTCTTTTCGGGTTGATTTGTGAGGTTGCCATTTGGAATTTTCTTTGTATCCTACAAAGTTGACATGAGAGTCAAAAGAATACCCTTTTATGGTTGTTCTTTTTTATAGGAGGATTATAATCAATTTTGGAAGTGTTACAATCTTTCTTATGCAAAGGGTTTGGATCATAAAAGTTGGCTTAAAAGTTGACTTTTTAGATTAAAGACATTTTATATAGTTTGCATCACACTATCCATGGAAGTGTGGTAAAGATGTAGTTGTATAAGAATTCTACAAAGGTAGAACATCCAAAACTCGTAGATATTGTAGATTGGATTTTATCCCTCTCCATCTTCTAAAAGCTTTGATGTTTGGAAGTGATGAATGATAAGAGATCTTTTGGATGCAACAAGCAATACAAACAACTTCCATTCAAAAATGATTATTTAGGTTGATAACATAGAGCATTATCTTGCCAAATTTGGTAATAAATAATATATATATATGTAAAAAGACTTGGTTTGTTTTTAGAAGAAATAAATCATATTGTGTAATATCATATTTTGCCATTTTAGTCAAAATATGCATGTATCTTCTACCTTTAATATTTGGACTTCTTGATCAGCTGAATGAATCTAAGATCTATACAAAAATAGATCTACGGGGAGTACACAATCTATTATGCATCAAGGAAGGAGATGATTGGAAGTCTGCGTTTCGAATTAAGTGTAGATATTTTGAATACAATGTCTTGGCGTTTGGACTTAGAAACGCACAAGTTGCATTTCAACATCTAATGAATGATGTTTTTTGAGAGTTTTTAGACGATTTTGTGGTCTGTTATTTACCTGACATCTTGATCTATTCTTAGAATCCAAAAGAACATGAACTTCATGTTTATCGTGTTTTAAAAGAATTTAGAGATGCAGGACTTTATGCTAAGATAAAAAAGTGTGTATTCCAGACTACTTAAGTCGATTTCTTAGCTTACATCATTTTAATTGATGAACTTATGATGGATCCTAAGAAAGTTCAATCTATTATGGATTGGAAGATCTCAAAAATGGTAAGAGATGTCAAATGTTTTTTGGGATTAGCCAACTACTATCGGATCTTCATGAAAGACTTCTCTCAAGTTGAAAAAGATTCATGATTTTTTTATGATTTGAATTCATTTCTTGAACTGTTGATGGTGTCAAGGATAAGAACTTGATGAAAAAGCCATTCAAAGAAGTAAGCCTTCACTCAAAGAAAGATAACAAAATATAAATAAACAAGTATGTAAATTGAAAGAGAAACTGGAATGGCTATTGCCAAAAGACAAGAAAATTAGAGACCCTTGAAACTAGAATGGAAGCAAGAAAGGAGTTGACAAGAGTGATGAAGGCTTCACTCTTGTCTCTATATATACTATCTAACTAGAGGCTATGTGGCGACATTCTATAGGACCTCCAATAAGTGTTGACTTTGTAGGACACATGCCTTGACTTACAAGGCAAGTTATTCTATGTGTAGGCCACAAT